AGAGCGCTGAGCGGAAGTAGAAGAACAAAAACGGAAGGTGGAAAGGTGCCCGTGCTGTCCCCCTCTCCTCCACTGGGCGGAGTGGGGGAGCGCCCGGGGAGAAGAGGAGGCGGCAGGCGGGGAGGAATGCGGGCGCCTTTCCACCGTCCGTTTTTGTTCTTCTACTTCCGCTCAGCGCTCTAGACCAATACCCTATTGAATATAACAAAGGTGGATCCGATTACGCCACCGAGCTTACCCGAAATAAGCTATTTCAGAGAAATGGGAAAGAAGAACAGCACGAATAACAAAGAGGCCTCTTATACGCGTCAGAGCAATAGGGTATTCCGCTGCAAGCCAACCGGAACCTAAAGAAGAAAAGCATGACTGCTCGATCTGTTTCCCTCTGCGCGGTTATCGGCTGACCGCCACAGCCACGCCATCTTTGGCCAATCAGCGTTCAGGGGGAAACGGATCGGGTAGTCACGCTTTTCTTCTTTAGGTTCCGATTGTGTTGTAGCGGAATACCCTATAGACCATTCCGGTAAAGCGGAAAAAAGAAGAACAGACGAAAGAAGCAAAGGCGAGTATGAGAAATATACGGTGGTGCGTCGGTTCCACAGTCGTATCAAACGGTTCAACGTGACTTGTCTGATGTCTAAATTCATTTGAGAGTTAATGACAATAGTTCTCACTCTCAGGCGACGCAGAATATCTAGTTTACGGTGGATTTCTTTCGAGCGTTCCCAAGGCGCACCGTACATTTCTCATACAACGCTTTGCTTCTTCCGTCTCTTCTTCTTTCTTTTCGGTTTACCGGAATGGTCTATTGACAGCAGACGCACGGATACAGAAGCCATGAGGCTGAGGGCGGAACTGCACCATTTTCGCCTCCCATTTCCGGCGCCAAGCTTACCCGGAATACCCTATTCAAGCGAAATACCCCAACTTGCCTACCCCCCGGCCCCCTGCCTGATGGCAGTGTTCCGGATCGGTCAGGTAGATCGTAACTGAGAATAACCCGACGGTCTTCTGGCTCTTTCCCTACCACCTGAGTCTAGTGAGTGAGAGAGAGACAGAAGGCCGTCGGGTTGCGCTCAGTTGCGCTCTACCCGACCGATCCAGAGCACACTGTCTGATAGGGTATTCCGCTCAAAACTGTAGGGGAAGTGAGGAGAAAAGAAGCATCCAAAACCGTAGGGGTTGGGGCGGGCGAGTGGAGGAGCGGCGGGGACGCCCCCGTTCCACCCGTGCCGCCACCTCCACCCCTACTTCTTGTGATTCTTCCGTTCCCTGCTTCAGCCACAGTTTTGGGCGCGGCGGCGCGGCGGCTCAGTGCGCGTGTCGTCAGCGTCACGCCACTAGCGTGCGGCCGGCTCGCAGGATCAGTCCGCTCTCAGCCGCCACAGACGTCGGACGTGTGTCTTCGCGCTCTCCACGAGTCATTCGCGCAATCGATGGTTCAGGCGCTGCTGAAGACGTGAGCCCCACTTCAGCGACTGGCCAGACGTTCAACTTCAACTGCTTTGCTGGCACACCTTGCTAAGAAAGGTACGTGCCAACGACTAGGGTAGTCAGGCTATTGAAAACGGAAGTGGAAAAGAATAAACTCGCCTCTGTTTCCGCATCGTAGGTATGAGAAATCGTGTGTTTTACCCAGTTAGAACCGGGTTCAAAGAAGAACAGTAATGCTTCCTGAACTGTTTCCTCCCTGACCCTCATATGGTACTCCGGGGCTCGACTAGACCGGAAGGAGATGAACTAAAATCGTCGGGCGCGGGGAGGAGCGGGCACGGTGGGGGCAGTATCCCGCTTCTCCCCGCGCCCGACCGGCCCGACGATTTTTGTTCTTCTCCTTCCGGTCTAGTCGAGCCCCGGAGTACCCTATTGGTTGAGCTGATCACGTGCCCCGACGGCGTTTAAGGTATGAAAAACTGTCAGGTCAGTTTCGAGCTCGCCTCCATATTTGAGAGGTTAGAATCGGACGAAACTACCATGGTAATTTTTCATACTGAGCTGGCGGAAACAGATCAATCGGTGAGTTTGTTCTTTTTCACTTCCGTTCTAGATAGCCTGGAACACCTTATTGACCTGTCCAAAAAATCACAAACGAAAACCCGAAGATATTACTTCTAATTTTATTTTATTTTTTACATCCTTCTATGACGTAACTCGTCAAAGTAGAGCCCGAAGGGCCAAAATTTTGTCCGTTTGGCTCTGTCTCTAACCGTTTAGTCGCCAGGGGGCGATATCCACACGAAAATGACCCCAAACCATATTAATGTTGTTTTTCAGATATTTGACAGTCTCTGGTGGGGCAACTCGTCAAAATAAAATCCTGGGGGTAAAATTTGTGTCTTTTGGAGCCAAAGGCCTATCTACGACTCTGCCTTTTGTCCGACTCGGGTGTCAGCGCCGCAGGCCTAGGTAGATGTATGCCAGGCGCGTCGCAGCGTAACAGTGTGTCGTGAGATATCGCGAAGCCTGTTACGCGAGACGTGGTCTGGCGTCGCGAGACGTGGTCTGGCGTACATCTACCTAGTCGTAAGATCAGAATACAAAATTGGTTGTAATTTTACTGACTGTACAATAGGGTTTTCCAATTGAGCGCGGAGCGGAAGCAAGAAGAACCAAAACGGAAGGTGGAAAGGCGCCCGCACTCCTCCCCGCCTGCCCCCCACTCCTCCCTGGGCGCTCCCCCACTCCGTCTAGTGGAAGAGAGAGGGACGGCGCGGGCGGCTTGCCATGTTCCGTTTTTGTTCCTCTTGCTTCCGCTCCGCGCTCCATTGGAATAGACGGTTCCCGCTCTGCGCGTTTCGAGAAGAAGTAAGGAAATCAGGACCGGAACCAGTATGAAAAGTCCGTTTATTTTTCTTATTTAACTGTACAGTTTCACTTAGATGACCTCGAGAAAGTCCATGTAACTATGAAGGTTCATTTGCACTAGTTTTACCGTTATTTCAGAACTGTTTCCGGTGACGATTTCTTTAATTCTTCTTGAAATGGGCACAGCGGGAACCGTCTACACCCTATAAAGCATTCCGGCAAAACTTAAATGCGGGAGAATGCAGGAAACAAGAAAACGAAAGTCACCATCTGAAAGCTTAGTGATTTCCGGTTTCTTGTGCCCCGCATTCTATAGCATTTCAGCCCCCGGAAATACTAATAAATAGGGTATTGGTCAAGAACGCTGAACGGTAGTAGAAGAACAAAAACGGAAGGTGGAAAGGCGCCCGGTCCGTCCCACTCTTCTCCACTGGCCGGAGTGGGGGAGCGACCAGGCCCAGGTAGAAGTGGAGTTTCCATCTTCCGTTTTTGTTCTTCTACTTCCGCTCAGTGCTCTAGGCCAATAAGGCATTCCGGTAAAGCTAAAATGCAGAAGAATGCGAGGAAGAAGAAAGCGGAAGTCGCTATGCTTATGGTGACTTCCGTTTTCTTGTTTCCTGCATTCCTCTGCATTTCAGATACACCGGAATGCTTTATACCCATACCTGGAAGTCAGGGGGAAAAAATCAAGTCATGGAAGTCATGGAAAAGTCAGGGGAACCAATAGGGTATTTCAATGGAGCGCTGCCCGGAACTAAGAAGAACAAAACCGGATACAGAGAGCGGTGGTGGGGGCGGAGGAGCGGAGGGCGGGCGGGGAGGCTCCCCTCCACCCGCCGCTCCACCGCGCGCCCGCCCCCACCACCGCTCTCTGTATCCGGTTTTGTTGTTCTTAGTTCCGGGCAGCGCTTCATTGAAATACCCTATAGGGTATTCCGCCGCAAGCGAACCGGAATCTCAAGAAGAAAAGCATGACTGCTCGGTCTGCTTCCCTCTGCGCGCTTATTGGCTGACCGGCATACCAAGGCCATCGTCAGGGTTGCCAGCCACTCACTTTTATCCACTATTTTTAAAATGACTCACTTTTTGCGACTATTTTGTGGAAACAGTCACTATTCGTCACTTTTTCGGAGGTCAAGGCGGTAAAATGACCATTTTACCGCGTCCCGTGAGAAATTTCATCAGTTTTGTACAGGAACTTGACTTGTGAAATTTCATCTGAGAGCTTGAAAAATATTCCAGAAACACTGTGGATCATCATCTTGGTCATCTTTCAGTGATCGACAATCCAAAGTTTTCAGTGATAGTCTTCTGTTCTGGTGCTTTATTTTTTTACACTCAATCGTAAGTCATGATGAATGTGTGCAAAATATGAACCATACGTTCCAAATTAGAAAATTCCTTTAACGTCACTTTTACCCCACTTTTTAGACGTAAAAAGTCACTTTTTTGAGATCAGGGAAGTCACTAATCTACCATTTTAAACCCTCTTGGGCTCTGGCAACCCTGGCCATCGTTGTCAAATCAGCGTTCAGGAGGAAACAGATTATTTCCAAGGAAACAGTTATTTCCATGTACAATCACAGTTTTCACAATAAGAATAGACCTTTTCGCCCACAACGTGGCAACGCCGCAAGTAGAATCTTATTCTTGAGATAAACAGTATTTTGAGTGTTTGTCAACCAAATTACTCATCACCACTGGATTCCTTGGAAAATTTACTAGAGAGAAGTGTTTTTGCTTTTTGAAAATTTGCCTAAATTACAATTTCACTAGGGAGATTTGCGTTTTTGCCAGGTTGTGGGCGAAAAGGTCTATTCTAGGTTATTTTACAGTGTGGTCTGTGTACCTTAAAGGTTTGAGACATGGATCGCCTCCCCGACGCCGTGCTGCTGAGGGTGTTCAGGAGCCTGGATGATGAGAAGCTCCTGGACATACGCCGCGTCTGCAGGAGGTTCAAGGATCTGGCGCTGCACCCGTCGCTTTGGCAGCAGCGCACCATCGGCGCGCACTGGTGGAATGACGAGCTCTCCAGCGTGGACTTCCCCCGCGGCCGCTGCCGCGAATGCGCCGTGCTGCGGCTGGCGCCGTGCGCGCGCATCTGGACCGTGTCGCTGCCGCGGCCCACGCCGCAGAGCCAGCAGCTGTGCGCCTCCACCAGGTCAGCGGGGAAAAGCAAACTGTTAAAAAAGACTGTTGTAAATTAGCCACGAAAGTGTAATTAAGTTTGTAAGCAACACTTATTGTTTTTAACAACACATATTGTAGAGAAAAAACCACATGGATAAAAACTCGGGAACAACGCTTCTCATCAAAACCAGTCAGTTTTGATTTGCTCCTATGGAAAAAAACAGCTGTAATATTGAGTGCGTTTTTTTCGAACAAAATGTGTTGCTAAAATTTTGAACCACTTTTGTTGTACATTTACAACAAAGTAAATCAATATGAGCCGAAAAACACAAGTTTCGCGAGGGGTCAATTGAAAACATTTGTTGTTTATTAACAGCTGTATCGTTTAACAAGCTAGGCCCGCTCTTCCGTCAAACCAAGTTGGCAGCTCCGCTTCGCTCCACCGGAAACTCGGTTCAGTATGTCATCTCGCCGATGACAAATGGATGACACTGATGTCAAACGGATGACAAAGCGCGAATAGGCGTTTGTCATCATTTTGTCATCAGTTTATCATTCGTTTATCGTCAGATTGTCATCCGATGACAATCGGATGGCAAACTATGGTCAGGGGACGGCTCCAGCCTGACGGTGCGCAATTAAACTTTCCCGCCGTATATGTTATTCTGGTAGACCACATTTCCCTCTCATCCCTAAAGTAAGCGTCGTAGAGCTAACGGCTTACTGTGATGTATGAGGATAACATACTCTATCCAATCTAAGAGAAAAAATTATTCGAAAATCATCTTTTAAACGGTTATAGCCAAAGAATTTTTCACACCACCATTGTGTTTAGAGCGAAAAGCTTACGTGGAGGACTTGTGCCGCATTCTCCGATCGACTTATGGTCACCCCATTTACGTGACTTAAATAGGCTCGAATAGACTAGGGCGCATCATTTCGTGGAAAGCATGTTCGGTTGGAACATTCCCCAACGATCTGGAGCGACAGAAGCAGCCCGTTTGTCATCGGTTTGTCATCAGATGACAATCTGCTGATTAAAGGATGATAAACTGATGACAAAATGATGACATACTGATGACAAACGGCGATTCTCGTTTTGTCATCAGTATGTCACCAGCTTTATCATCAGATTGTAATCAGCTTGTCATCGGCGAGATGACAAACTGAAGACAATCTGATGCCATAGTCTTCCATGCAGGCTCTCGCTAAACGTCGCACGGTAAAAATGAAATCTTGGATTTCAAGCGATCTACTTGCACTGCAAAAAATTAGAGTCTGATACAGAACGATCTACAGCGTTACTGTAGATGCCGCTCTTAGTCACTGCACCTAGGGTACAGAGCGCGTAGTACAGTGTTGCTGTTGCACCGGAAAGCCCAGGATTTACACGGTACAGTGTACGAATACGGCTCCACTGTAGACAGTTTTGTCCGCGCCTTTGCCTTACAGTGGTCCTGTACATTGCTCCCTGTACCAAATTTTAACCATTAAAACTACATCGATGCTGTTATTCGAATAACAGAAGTTCCTGGAAAATAATTAGCAGGACGATCTGTAGTTTTCCTGTCATAATTTTTTTGCAGTGTGGTTTTCAAGACAGTTTTCAAGAAATCTACTTGAATTTCAAGATCATCTTTTTACCGTGCACCGCGACCGATAGCGAGAGTACTGTGCGTTCGCTGCCGCCGAGCTCCGCCCTCCCCCTCCCCACTCCTCCGGCAGGCGAGTCGTAGTACGCTTGTAAAGCCCGCAGAGACACAAAAATAAGAATTAGTTCTCAAACGAACAAATTTGCTAATCTTGGGATAGCTAATCCCAAATAAGTGATGATTCGGAAACCAGCCTTCGTAGCGCAACAGTACAACCGAGGGGGAAATCACTAGGGTTCGTAGCGTACGGCCTATTTCGTGGTAATTCTGCCATTTCGGTTATTTCTCCTGTCATTTCGGCTATTTCTGGCCTATATTGGATTATTTCAGGCTATTTCGCGATATTCCGGAGTATTTCAGGGATATTTCGCGGCTACTTCACCGACTATTTCGCGTCTATTTCGTCTTTATTTCGCTCTATTTTGGACTATTTCGGGGGAATGTGTACGAACTATTTCGCAAGTGATTTCCCTCACGAGTACAACGCCTATATGCTTTATTGGTCTGGCGTACATCTACCTTGTTTTAATATGCATGTTAACTTGCAAATCGTCAGAAACAAAAAGTTGCAGTCTATGAACGGTACGCACATCTATCCTGACGGAGCAGGGACGAGCACGATGATAGTAGGACCTAAGATGGAGAACCGGCTTGGGGCCCCGATCAGCTACGCCACTGCGCGTTGCGACGTGTAACTCCCGTTCAAGAGAACTTACACACAAAAGGAAAACTGTTTTAGAATCTAGAATGTCTGCTGATTTGCCGCATATAAAAATAATTGTCGAACAACAGTCTGGAAGTGGAGATATGGAAGCCCAAAGTTACGCTGCCGCTGTCGCGGAGGCGGCGCCTCTGAGCGCCACCGCCTGCTGGCAAGATCTTAGCCGTTCCGGGAGTGTTTTCTTTCTTCTTCTCTATCCTGGGCGTATTCTCGTTGTTTTTATTTCTCAAATAATGAAAATGCTGCACTATTGGGGGCATATTTTGTGTCAAACTCCTTTTGTTATCAATATTTAACGTACTCGGAGTGGAAAGAAGAAAAAAAAAACTTCCGGAACGGCTAAGATCTTGCCAGCAGGCGGTGGCGCTCAGAGGCGCCGCCTCTGCGACAGCGGCGGCGTAACTTTGGGCTTCCATATCTCCACTTCCAGACTGTTGTTCGACAATTATTTTTATATGCGGCAAATCAGCAGACATTCTAGATTCTAAAACAGTTTTCCTTTTGTGTGTAAGTTCTCTTGAACGGGAGTTACACGTCGCAACGCGCAGTGGCGTAGCTGATCGGGGCCCCAAGCCGGTTCTCCATCTTAGGTCCTACTATCATGCGAGCACGATGCGAAATAATGGCCTGCAACTTTTTGCTCCTTGTGATTTTCAAGTCGACCAGCATACCAAAATAAAGCTTGGGTTTTCTACTGTTGCGCTGCGAAGCCCGATTTCCGAATTATTACTTATTTCCTTATGAAAACAATAAGGAAACAAGTTCGCAGGGGTGTGGGGCGTTTCCAAGTTTCGCGATCGCGAGTGTCGAAAAGGTCTACTTGAGACAAACTGTAATGCTTAAGTAAACCCCTAGTAACTGTGAGGTTCAGGAAAAATTTCAAGTGCCATCCGACTTCTAGTGTAATAACCTTAACATTTTCTGAGTTTCAACGAAATCGGAGATTTACACCTGAAAGGTTCCCTTGTAAGACATGGGCGCCTCGCTGACGCCACGCCGCTGCCGGCAGATTTTAACGCGTAGCCGCCGCCGACAAAATAGTCGGTGGCGTCGCCGGCGGCACGACAGTTTTTGCCCTCGTTTTTGGTAAACTCGAACAAAAACCGCCTCATACGTAGGCAACCCACCTTCTTTACCTCCTTCCGTCCCAAAGTTCCACTATTTCCAAATCAATTCTTGGAAAAGCGGATAATTCAACATAGAAAATATCAAACAAAGAAAATTTTTCATGAACATTGGTTTCAAACGTCATCAAATTGACAATTTTTCTAGTGGCCGCCAACTACGCCGAAGGCCCGTCGCAAACGCCGCCGCCAGCCCAAGCGAAGCCCGCTCCCTGCCGAACCAAGTTGCCGGTGGAGCGAAGCGCAGCTGGCAACTTGGTTTGGCGGGAGAACGGGCCTCGCGTGTCTTATGGGACAAGCAGTTCGCCTACACAACGTCTAACAACCGACTGACTTGCTGCCTGGCCAGGTGCGCCGTGACCAAGGTGGTGCTGCGCGTGCGGCGCGCCGGGGCGCCCACGGCCGGGCACCACGCGGCCCTTCTGCTGCGCAACCAGGAGGCGCTGGGCCGCCTCAGGACGCTGGAGCTGGACTCGTTCGACAGCAGGCTGGCCGCCAGGGACGCGGGCGAGCTCATCGCCACGCTCATGTGCGCGTCCGGCCTGGAGCAGCTCACTCTCTGGTCCTTCCCGTCCGCCCTGCGCTCCCTGCCCGTCCCTTACAAGGACCTGCCGGCGGCGGCGTCCCTCAAGTTGTTCAGGTGCGACCTGACGCGCGCGTCGCAGGCCTTCTGCGACTCGATCCTCGCCACGCACGCCGGCACGCTGGAGGAGGCGCAGCTCGGGTTCAAGGCCGCGCCGCCGACCCCTGCCACCACCGCGGCCCTGCTGGGCGCCATACCCGGACTACGCGTGCTGTTCTGCTACATGATGCCCGGGCTGGAGGCGCTGGCGGCGAGCGCCTCACTCGTGGACCTGACGCTGACGGTCGAGGTCGGACAGCACTTCGAGGTAGGGATGGCTTTCGCATTTAATATTGGTACACTCTTTAAAAAAAATCAGTAAAAATTCTGTAACATTGTTACGCAGTAATTTACGCATCACATGTTACAGAAATTTGTATCAGATTTGATACGGATGTGATTCTGTAACACGGATACGAAAATCCGTATCATCTGATAAAGAACCTCTCTGGGGTTTTAAAATTGTAATTCTTTATCTTGTTACTCTTCCTCTTCCTCCCTTCCCCCTCTTCTTTTTTTTTCTTCTGGGGAACGAACTCCTTTGATATAATTTGAAGGAATGTACCTTGCCGCACCGGGAGTTGAATTCCAGACTACCGGATTAGGAAGTCGCGCCTTTATCCGCGCGACCACCCAGGCTACCTAAGGAGAGGTCTGCTGGAACCCGGGGTCATGCCACGGGGCTCCCGGAGACCGTGCCAACCAAGTTCTATAATTCTGTGTCCGGGGATACAGAGAACAATGTATCCAACGTTACTTTATCTTGTCTCTGTTACAGAAATTAGTAGCATTTACGGAATTTTGTAACATTTTGATCAAATTACACAATTATGTACCCATGTGACACGTTTCTATATCAAAACAAAGAAATTACGAAATTACTATATGGTCTAGGATAGTCCTTTTGCAAATTCTTCCACCCGGGATGTATCGGCGATATTTTACTATCCTTTGGTGAAGGAAGGCCAATATATCGATACAAAATTTCCAATCACCGATTGAATAGGAATCAGTAATCATTATATCAATGGTACATCCGCCCGTAGGCCCGGATGCGGTCGGCAGCGGCGCTGCTGCGCGGTGCGCCTCAGCTGCGCAGGGTGTACCTGGACTACGGGCCCGGCACCAGCGCGCCCGCCGACGTGGACCTCGTGGCGGCGATGGCGGCCAACGAGCGCGCTCCACTGCGGTCACTCAAGCTCGCGGATCGAGGCAAGGTCGACAGGTGAGAGAACATGGGCAAAATTTCGTAGAAAAGTCTACAGTGTATCTCGCACTCTCATTTCCTTACGGGGCTGGCATCTGTAAGGCACGGAGAATTTTGTGCCAACGTAAGCAATGGACAAATTCACTGTAATACGGATACTAAGGTGAAATGGCGCCCCCCCCCCCACCCCCACCTCTACTGGGCGGAGTGGGGGAGCGCCCGGGAAGAAGTGGGGGGGGGGGGGGGCTTTCCACCTTCCGTTTCAGTTCTTCTACTTCCACTCAACGCTCTAGACCAATACCCTATTATGGGCGATGTTGTTCGTAATACGGACGGTCCAAGGTAGGGAATTAAAAAGGTACAGAGGTGTTTTCTTCAAAAATTGTCTGGCTTCAAGATGATTGTATTACGCTCAATACATTACCAACTTAACATAGTGCACCCTTATCACAGCCAATTTGTCCGGTTAAAAAAGTCCTGCAAACTTAAGGGATGGACAAGTTAACTGTAATACTGATAAGAAAAGTCCGTATTTTGGATAATGCCGTATGTCCGTATTACAGTGAATTTGTCTATACCTTACGTTTGCACAAAATTTTCCATACCATACGGATGGCACCTCCGTGAGGAATCAAGAATGTAGAATGTGTACACAGACGCATCTTGCCAGGAATCTCGTTACAAAAAAAATCGCTTGAAGTAGGGTATTTTGCCCGAACCGGTAGCAGAGGTAAGAACAAAAGAATCTCAAAAAGGGGGTGGCGGGCGAGCGGAGGAGCTACGGGCGGTGAGGTTTTCCTTCCACCCGCTTTGCTACCCCGACCCCTCACGTTTTGTGAATCTTGTCTTGTCCTTACTTCGGCTACGGGTTTTAGGTGGAATGCCGTATTTAGAGTAACTTACGAGGCGTCGCAGTCAGCAGCTTCAACATTTCAAACTACCTGTCCGTTCTGGCCACTCCCTCTCAGGTGGCAGTTCCCGCAGCTCCCCCGACTGCTCGCCGCGCTGCCCCAGCTGCCGCAGCTGCAGATGCTGGAGGTGTCGTGGGTGCCGGACGAGTTCCTGCTCGCGCTCACGCCCCAGACGGCGCCGGCCCTGCGGAGCCTCTTCGTCAGGTCGTGGGCGCCGTGCGTGCACAACTACCTGCACGCCGACGCGGTCCAGAAGTGCCTGGCCGCCAACCCGTCGCTGGAGCTGTACGTGTTTCCGTGCAAGCCTTCCTCCCGGGTGATGCTGCCCAAGCAGTGCCCCCGGAAGCGGCTCTGCGCGGCGTGCTCGCTAGACTGCCACCAGGACTTCCGGAAGAAGGACGAGGCGCAGGACTACAAGGCCATGAGCGAAGAGGAGCAACGCTGGAGGCGTTGGACGTCTGGTCACGTACTGCTACCGCGATGAAAGTGTCGCGATCTTTCCGTGTATATCTTGGTTTTGTTCGTTAGTTCCTCGATTTGGAATAAAACCAACCATACGTCAAAATGACTCCAGGTTATTAGTGATCTGATTTTCGTGCAGTGAATTTAAATTTACTCATTGCTTTAGTACCTGGCGTTTTCAAATCAGAACAGACTGTCTGGGCATAGGGTTATGGTGTTTGTACTGATGTTTGAAGGGGCTAGGGAAATCATACGTACTAGCCTTTTCCATTTTCAAATATATTTTACTTTGATTTCAAGAGCGATTTTGAGGGAACCGTCCCCGTTTTGACAGTTCCGTCAAAATGTCGTGAACAGCGATTGTTATTTTGTATTATAATTGCTAAATGCATTGTATTCGTTTAAAATAAATTCATGTTTGGCTATTGAAGTTGGTCTTAATTCCGCCATGTCACAATGGGGTCCCAAGTCCTTCAATGAGCACTGGACAGCTGCTGTGCTCTAAAAGTCTTGCAACCAAGTCTTCCTAATTTTCGGTGAAATATGTGCTCACATTAAGACCATTTTATTTGTAATACATACAGGATTGCTTGTAATGAACTCTTCCAAGTGAAAGGTGGAACTTGGAATCTATCACCCATCATTTCAGATTTTGCTGGTTTTGATGCAGCCCGAGTTCTGTTAAATATACTTTAGAAGTATAGAAATGCATTAAATACATTTTCACAAATAATGAAGATGTTTCTGTTACCATATACGGGCCTACGCCTAAATGATAGGAATTGATGGATCTGTCAATGTCGCACCCGAATGGCCGCAAAATTTGTGAAAATGTTTTTATTGTTCTGCTTAACTTTCCAAATAGCAATCTCAGGCTGCATCAATTCAATAATAGGAAAGTCTGTAATGGTAGGTGGTGGGTTCCACGTTTCATCGGAGGGACACAGTATCTACAAAGAAACGTTCCCTTTTGTGACTATGAACACGCGATTAGTTTGCAATACAAAGCAGTTTATTCGTAGTACAAATATTCCTGTTTGTATTACACTTTAAATGCTGTTTGTGTTATGTGAGCACAAAACTCACCTCAAGTTACAGTGGGCGCTCGCTATAGTTCCGCCTCGGGTTCTGGAGGGGCATTACGGAGCTCCCTCACTACGGTTCGCCTGCGCCTTCTAAACGCCCTGAAACAGGGTGAGGGGGGTAGAGGGGGGCCAATTAGAAGGCGCAGGCGAATCGCAGTCAGGGAGCTCCGTAATCTTCCTCCAGAATAGGGTATTTCACTTGACGCAAACCGGAACTAAAGAAAGAACAAGAGTTCTTCCTAAACTATTTCCTTCCTTGCTCTGATTGGCTGACGCCGACGAAGTTCGTGAACTGGCCGCAAGGGCGGTCGACCCCTAGTGTCGGGTCTGAGAACTTCGTCGGCATCGTCCAGTGAGCGCCAAGGAGGAATGTAACGTCCACATAATGGCTCTCTTCCTAAGAACTCTTGCATGTTTTTTCGTCTTCAACAAAGCTTCACTCAAAATTTTGAAAATTCCATCAACAAAGCTTCACTCAAAATTTTGAAAATTCCATTCGTCTTCATTTTAGTATTTATCTGGCTGCTCGCCTTATGCGGCTCGCCTTGCGGATATGATGCAGTCCAAAGCACTTGTATTTCAGTTGATGCAATCGGTGGTTCACAGTTCACAGTAGTTTATAGTTGAGCTTTGCGGTGTTAACAATCTTAAGACAGTCGGTTAACAAACAATCTACTTGAGATACAGGTTGCCCGCCTCGTCCGACAGTCTCAGCGGCTGATAAGTAACTCGAGGGGTCCTGGGGTCCTCCACTCTCCAAGTGGGTGTACAACGAGTTGCGTGGGTATCCGCGAGTATTCGAGAGTATTAGCGAGTATCCGCGAATTTTTCGCGAGTTGTCGCGAGTATCTTGCGAGTATTTCTCCTCGTGTACAACGAGTTGGCGAGTGGGGGACCCCTCGGAGTAACTAACTCTGTCCCACCTGGCTGCGCCGTTCCGACGCGCTGGCGCTTGCGTCTGGCCTGATACGGCGGGATATTCAAAGAGTCGAGGATCGCCGGTCGCCCTGCGTCTGGCGTACCTTACAGGAAAGAATTCAGGAAGAACTCTTGTTCTTCTTTGGATCCGGTTTGCGTAAGGTGAAGTACCCTATTGGAGTGGGTTGGGTATGTGGGGTCGCCAGAGGCGCAACTATAGCGAGCGGCTTCCCCCACTCCTCTACTGCGCGCTCGCTCACACTGCTAGCGGCTTGGGGGGAAGGTGGCGGGGAGGAGGAGGGGGGAGCCGCTTCGCGCTCGGAGTGGGGGAACCAGGCCTGGCGGGGAGGGAGCACCGGCGGAACACTATGGGGGTGGCTCACTGCCTCTAACAATATTGCCTCTAACCCGATTTTTCGATTTCAGTGTCACTTTTAATAATGCCTCTAACGATATTGCCTCTAACCAAAATATATGATTCCCAAGGTGAAAAGTGCCTCAAACAAAATTGCCTCTAACCAAAAATTTCAAAAAATCAGGTGCACAAATGAGTAATGCCTCTAAAAAAAATGCTCTGCAGCTACAAAAGGGTGCCTGAGAGCAAGGAGAAGTCACCGTCAAACGCTGAAATATTACAACGTAATAGATGAGCTTAACTACACCAAAAGTAACCGAGCCACAAGGAGCGCGCACGCGCGCCCCTGGAAACACACACACACACACTTGCGCTACGCGTAGGTCTATGCCATTGCTAGCAGGCGCGCGGTGGCCGACCGGACCATGAGTCCGCCTGCAGGTAGGCAACCACGTGGTTCGTGCGTGGTGTGCGGGCTTGCCTACGCTACAGCTTGCAGGCGCGCACGCTGACCTCTTCCTGAACAGGCCCCTCCCTACTCCGCGTTACTCGCTCACCGCCTGCTGCTGCAACGTGCCTCACCGTCTCCCCTCGATAGTCGGCATCTCTCCCTGCACCCAAGTGTGAACTGACGTCACGGTTGGCAAGCTGCTTGCGGCGCCCTTACCGACTCAGGATAGGCAGACCGTCCGTCTGAATCTGGGGAAATTCTGATTCGTAATGGAAACCGATAGACTTGACTGTAAAAATTTCACGCGTGACCGCTACTCGCGACTCGTGTAGCGTTGTTGCACTTTCTTCTTGTACATAACTGACCTGTGTGTTTCTGTGTCTGATTGCATGTGCCTGTGAGAGGAGATGAGACCTGAGTGTCAGTCGCTGCTGCTGCTCACCTGCTCTGCTTGCTGGCTCTTCCCAGTGCACTGCTGCCTTTGCAAGATTAAAACACAAAATAATAGCTGTCAGTTTGTTAGTACCTCAAAATACTGTTGAATAAAATGTAAACTCACCTCATTTTCTTTCGGAAATACTTTTATCAATTTGCCCGCCACAGTTTTAAAATGGGCATCCTTCAAACTAGTTAAAAAAAGGGAAACAAAAGTTATTAAAAATCAAAAAAGAAAATCTCATAAGATGATGTGAAAATATTGATTGCATACCTTGTACTCAGAATAAGAAGGTGGGCCGCCACCGTATGAACAACAAAAGTTCGTTCAGTGTGATCTAATTCCTTTTTCACACTTGCTTTTTCATAATTACTGAGCACCACGGATGAAAGGGGGTCAGATTTTAGTACGTGACGAATATCCTGTTAATGTAAAAGACTTTGTTAGTACAATTCTCATTTGCGTTCAGAAACATTTAGATCTAGAGGTAAACTTACAAGATTGTCGATGGCATTATTTAAAGTCAAGTCTGCTGATTTTTTCTGGGCAAAAGTAAGGCTTTTGTTGCTGGTAGATCTTCGCTTTTTCAGAGGGGGCTGAAGAACTGCAGATGAAGTGCCAGCTTCCTCGTCAGACATGCCCTTTTCATTAGTATCACCTTCAATATTGCCCAAAAAATCTCCACTGAAACCAGAATCACAGGTATCTTCGATAGAAACCTCATTGGTGCACGCAACCTGCAAAACACAAGATAAATAAACATGTGATAGCTATCGACTAACAGAACCATTACAGTGGACATTGACCAGAGTACCCTCACCTCATTGGACAGACTTTTCACCTTCTCCAAGAAAATGACACGAGGGCTTTTAACCCACGAATAAACGGCTTGAGCTGGTCATGATTGAGCAATTTCAGGCTTTCAAGGGTGATCAACTCATCTGCCAAGAAATAATAAAAATTAGCCCACAGGACCAGGAAAGACAGTCTCCTCGACCA